CTCAAGGGATCGACGGAACCGAGGGAGGGTGCTACTGATGAGTCCCAATAGGACGAAATAGGCGCCTATATAGCACTAGACCTATGGCTCAAAATATGCATATACTTACTATTGTTTTATTTGGTATTTATGCATATGTTTTCATTTTTTTACAAGTGCCTGGAACGTTCTCTCCAGCCATATTACCATTTTTCTGCCGACATTGATTGATATATCATAAATCGATCGGTTTTGATATCCTCTCATTTCCTACAACATTCCAAAGTCTACATAGTGATTGAAAATTGTAGCCTAACCAACAGTATGCCAGAAATGGTTCTGCTCACTGCATGAGATGCCAGTTCATCGATAACTCTCAACGATTTTTGAATCAGTAGTGCACTTCAGGAGTTGAGACAATTATAGAAATATAAAATAGCTTATCGCTCTGTGGGTATCATTTCTGTGACGTTTATATTCGACTGATCTTTCAGACCTTGCTCTGGATAGGCGCTTATACAATCGTCGACGATTGTTTCATGTAAGGGAGTTGTCCCCGAAAGGAATTGACTCCTGCGAATGGCACCGTGCAACTGACGAAGCTGCAAGACCGAGACACGTGTATTTCACCGTAAGTGTCAATAAGAGGCCCTATGAAAAGCTCGAAGAATAACATCGTCAGTTTATTCATGACGTTGAAGAAGAAAAAAAAAACAAAAAACGAATTCAGTGGCACAGGCACTGGGAACCGCATAGTAAAAAACACTGTGCAGGCTGGTCAGCGAAGTGCCAAAATAAGCGTTTATACTCTAAACGAACATTATTCATCGTGGCAACCTTATTACTGGATATGCACACTGTTTACACGTCCTACGTAGTTCCTTTTAGTAGAATGTCGGCGATGTAGTTTCCTGTACTTCGTGCAGTTCCCACCTCTTAGATAACTTCCTACTGTGAACTGCAGAATGTAATCATTCACAACTTAGTTGCCCCGAGATATATTGTCGATTGTCTTAGAATACACAAAATGGTTGATGTATGCACAATATCAATCGTAGCAGGATGCACAAATCTGCAAAATGGGGAGTAGTGTGTTTTTTAGGTATTAACTGTCTTTATTAGATGTCGTTCTTTCAAGATATCAATTATTGAATGAATATTTTGAACTAAAAGTTCATAAAATCAACACTAAAAACGCTGTGAAGTTGGAAGAACGGGCTAGCTACTCCGTAAGCAGAATGTTATCCTCTTTTTGTTACGAGCATGAAAAGAGATGTTCTTTCTATAAACCAAGCTTCATAATATAATTTTCGTTACGACACTGTCGAGTGATTACTAATAGTTGAGTGGAAGATCTCTTTTCTAGTAGAAATCAAAGAATCACTGACACAATCTACGGAATACGACAGCGTTGCACAGATATCGTATTCGAAAGCGTGAGACATCTGGACAACTTCTCGTTGCAAATACGTTTAAAAAAGTCCTTTGATGACAGCCTAGATATTTTAGTGATAATGTTTTCTGGGAACCAAATACTCACAAAAAATGCCAAGAAATCCGTTGTAAACTAGAAAAAACGCATTCAAAAGGTGCGAGGTCATAATCCTTTTTGATTGGAATAACGTGGTGCGCAGATCTTTTCACGGACCAAACGTAGCATTCGAATCAGAACTTTTCATCTAAGGATTGGCTATAAAAATATATTTTATGCTTGGCTATGACAGTCTGCCCAGAGTTATGAAAAATCTTCCGATATCAGGAAACCATATGTGATTTTGAAAGGATGTGGTTCTCACTTTGATTAATGCACGGTTTTTGGAAGTATTGGCGTTAATCCTGCCAAAATTATTAGGTTGAGGAAAAGTTCCTCAACACCCGCGAAAAATTCAAATTTCATGTTCGTCTCACACAGCATGGGTTATTGTAAAATCATGCGGATATCTCGGGAATATTTTCATAAGACACTCCCACGACGCCGCTAGTTATAGTGCATCAAATTTTGATTTACACTTCGGATATCAAATGATGACGATGTGCAAAATGGTCTCATCATGAATCATTGTCATCATCATCATCATAAATCTTGAAAATCAATCACGAATCGCCATCAATGTTGAACTCTACTGCGAGCAGCTGGACCGAGTCTACGATGCGCTGAAGGAAAAGCACCCGACATTGATTCGTCGAAAGCTTGCTGTTTTAACGAGACAATTCCAAACCTCACAGTGCAAAGACGATTAAAGAAAATTTTGATGAACGGGAAGGAATCGAGGTCTTGCCACATTCAGTATACAGTTCAGATGTTGCGTTGTCCGATTATTGTCTTTTCCGCTCAATAAAGCATTTACTGTGTAAACGCCGATTTGAGAGATGTGATCAAGCTGAAGAGGATGTCAAGAGTTTCTTTGATTCGGAGCCCTAGGAATGATATTTCAAGCAGATCCGGATGCCTGCAGATCGGTATTAGAAAATCGTTGATAATTGTGTTCTTCAATTTGAAGAATAATTACTGCTGCTTTCATTTGATTTATGTGTAAACTTTGATATGTGGAGTACTGTGCAAAAACGTTTGCGTCAGCCGGGATTCGAACCCAGATCTTACTCTTTCCGGAAAGAGTGAGATCTGGGTTCGAATCTCGGCTGACGCAAACGTTTTTGCACAGTACTCCACATATTGGGTATACTAATAACATCATACCACTGCAAGTGGCAGTCAAAATAGAAAGAATTATAAACTTTGAATTTTTGATTGATGTTAAGGAGCTTTTTCCTCAATCTCTCATTTAAGCGAAAAAGTCCTCAGTGATATTTCATCATTCAGTAAAGACAATGTTTTCCTTGAATTTTAGTGAATCGGTTTCATATAATAGCACGACAGTCTTCGTAACCGTGCGAAGTCGTGTGACTCTCACTGTTCGAAGGAATTCAAGCAGCATTTTGTATAATCTCACTTTGGTAGAGCATGTAATAGTGATAACAATTTATTGACACCACATGCACTGAAGCCTCCATAGCTCAGTGGCAGAGCGTATGTCTCGTAAACAGAAGGTCTGCGGTTCAATCCCGCATGGAGGCAAGTGTTATGCTAACGTGCAACATCAGTTCTAAATACGCTCAGTTTGAAAGAACACATTTGTGGAGCTTACTTTGAAAAAATATAAATTCGACCAGAATTCTTGTCGATTAGATACGCATTCAGTTTCTGAAACCTCCGCCAAATTAGGCAATTTCAACAACCTCCACAAATAACAGTGCATTTCGGAGAAGCGAATGCAAGGAAAGTGTAGCGATTTCGACGGAATTTAGTGACTTATTACTTACCTAAATCTGCACTATAATGAGAAATTTGGGGACGAGGGAGAGGTTCGCCGAGTGGTTTGTGCTGCAGGTTATCACTAACTATGGTGCACGTTCAGCGGCCCAGCCCTCAACATCTCCGTGCAGTCACGACGAAAGCGCCTTACTTCGCCTTTTCCAAGGCTGCGAGGAAGTTGGCCTCGACCAGCAATCTACTACATTTGTTCAGTAAAAAGAGGCCAAGTCTCAAACAGGAACCTAATTACGCAAAATATCAGTGGGTGTTTGTGTGATCCTTCATTCATCTTTACGAAGGTTAATATAATGCTTGATGAACGAGCGAAAAAATTATTTCTCATCTAGACTACATTGAGACGAAAAAAAACCGTAGTCGCATCAGAAGTCGTTACGTGAGGCAATTTCCTGTAATGAGCTGCCTGGAATGAAGGAACGATAATGACAAAGAGACCTCGTAGTTCATCTGTTCGAGGGATGACAAACATCGAAAGAGATCTTTAATTACTGTAAACACCCATGCATCATCGATTCTTAAACGCTCTTCTCTTATCGTATTCTAAGATAAAGATCTTAAGAGTGCTAAACAGAAGACAATAGATGAAGCTTGGAAGAGTAACAGAGATGAGATCCCTTTGTTTTTATTCGCACTAATCGCGATTTTCTTCAACTCGAATACGCTTTTAAATCCTAAATAAAGAGCTTTCATAATATGCTTCAAGTTCGTTCAATCTAAATTTATAAATCAGTTACCTCCAAAGTTTAGTCCCAACATTTTCGCTGAGTTGATTCATTGCTAAGTCATGTAGCATTTACTTTATCTCATGAGAGTTGCGATGTCACGACAGTGACTGCGAAAGACAGTAGAAATTCAGATGAGCTGTTCAGACGAAAGCGTTGCTTTGGAATTCAGCTGTACCTTCCAACAGTTCATGAGCTTATCAATGATTAGCTTCCAGGCCGCCAATGTGTCACGGAATCAAGCCGCAGAAATTTTCAGAGCAACTAAATAGTTGATGCTTGTTCGTACGGTGGTTGAATCAGGACTAATTATTATACTTATTATTATTATATCTATGTACTACTGAATCAGGACAATTTTCCTACACTTTAATAAAAGTATTATTGAGGAATTATTCACGTATTCATTGCTACGGCTAAAGTTAAATATGTGACAATCTTCGACGTGAGACGCTGCGGGGGAACTCAGGAATAAAAGAAAACCCAGGTCTACAAGATTTACTATGCTCTCAGCTGAACACAAATTTAGACATACTGCTTCACTGCAGATATGTAGAAAAAAACCTTCCTAATTGAAATTGTGTCTATCTACATCTCAAATTGAATTTCTTGTGCACTTCGTCCACCTCCTAACTAAATTTTTATGGAACTAAAGCAGAAACGGCATCGTTTCAATGTTTGTACCTACTCCAATAAATCTCTAATAACCCTTCGCGGACGGTGGGCGTAAAAAAACGACTGTTGTTTCGTTATAGTGTCTAAATTGCATCAACAACTTCTTGTCTTCATGCAAGACTAAATGGAGATATTCAAGTAGTGAGAAACACGCCCTCTAGGAAGCTAAAGAGGTCGCGTCGACCGCTAAATGGTAATATCCATAATCGTAAGCCACTTCGAAGATACCTATCACTGAATCCTTCTCCCATCTCTGTATCTTTACAATGTGGATCACCTCAACGCAAAATAGTTGCCTCCATGCGGGATAAGAATCGCAGACCTTCTGTTTACAAGACAGACGCTCTGCCACTGAGCTATAGAGGCTTTACCTGATTGCATGTTAATAAATCGTCATCACTTTTACATGCTCTACCAAAGTGAGATTATACAAAATGCTGCTTGAACTCTTCTGATCAGTGAGAATCACGATTTCGCACTGTTACGAAGATTGCCGTGCCAATATATAAAACTGATTAACTAAAGTTTTAGGAAAACATTTTCTTTACTGAATGATGAAATATCCCTGAGAACATTTCCGCTTAAATAAGAGGTTAAAGAGAACACTCCTTAACATCAACTGAAAATTCAAAGTTTATACATAAATTTAAATAAAAGCACCAGTAATTATTCTTCAAATATAAGACAACCATTAATAACGATTTTCTAACAACGATCTGCAAGCATGCGGATCTGCTTGAAAATATTATTCCTAGGGCTCCGAATCAAAGAAACTCTTCACATCCTCTTCAACTTGATCACATCTCTCAAATCGGCGTTTACACAGGAAATGCTTTATTGAGCAGGAAAGACAATAATCGGACAACGCAACATATGAACTGTATACTAGGTATGGTAAGACCTCGATTCCTTCCCGTTCATCAAAGTTTTCCTTAGTCGTCTTTGCACAGTGAGGTTTGGAACTGTCTCGCAAAGCCAGCAAGCTTTCGACGATTCAATGTCGGGTGCTTTTCCTTCAGCGCATTGTAGACTCGGTCCAGCTGATCGCATTAGAGTTCAACATTCATGGCGATTTATGATTCATTTTCAAGATTTATGATAATGATGATGATGATGATGACAATGATTCATGATGAGATCATTTTGCACATCGTCATCATTTGAAATCCGGAGTGTAAATCAAATTCGATGCACTATAACTAGCCGCGTCGTGGGAGTGTCTTATGTAAATATCCCCGAGATATCCGCATGATTTTACAATAACCCATATGTGTGAGACGAACATGAAATTTTAATTTTTCGCGGGTGTTGAGAAACTTTTCCTCAACCTAATAATTTTGGCAGGATTAACGCCAATACTTTCAAAAACCGTGCAAAAATCAAAGTGAGAACCACATCCATTCAAAATCACGTATAGTTTCAGCCGAAATCGGAAGATTTTTTCTAACTCTGGGCAGACTTTTATAGCCAAACAAAAATATATTTTTGTAGCCAATCCTTAGATGAAAAGTTCGATTTGAATGCTACGCTTGGTCCGTGAAAAGATTTGCGCACCACGTTGTTCCAATCGAAAAGGATTGTGACCTCGCACCTTTTAAACGCGTTTTTTCAAGTTCACAGCGGATTTCTTGGCATTTGCTGCGAGTATTGATTCCCAGAGAACATTATGACTAAAATATGTAAGCTCTCGTCAAAAGGACTTTTTTGAACATATTTGCAACAAGGAGTTGTCCGGATGTCTCACCCTTTCGAATACGATATCTGTGCAGTGCAGTCGTATTCCGTAGATTGTGCCAGTGATTTTTGATTTCTACTAGAAAAGAGATCTTCCGCTTAACTATTAGTAATTACTCGATAGTTCAAGAACGAAAATTATGTCACGAAGCTTGGTTTATAGAAAGGACATCTCTTTTCATGCTCGTAACAAAAAGACGATACTATTTTGCTAACGGAGTAGCTAGCCCGTTATTTCTACTTCACAGCGGACTTAAGGTTGATATTATGAACATTTACTTCAAAATACTCATTCAGCAATTTGATAACTTGAAAGAACGACATTTATTAAAAACAGTTAATACCTAAAAAATGCACTGGTCATCAATTTGCAGGTTTGCACATCCTGCTACAATTGATAATTTGCATACATCAACCACTTTCTGTGTTTTAAGACAGTCGACAATATATCTCGGAGCAACTTACTTGTGAATGATTACATTCTGCAGTTCACACTATGAGGTCATCTAAAAGGGGGAACTGCACAATGTACAGGAAACTATATCGCTGAAACTCCACTAAAAGGAACTACGTAGGACTTGTAAATCAGTGTGGCATGTCCAATAATAAGGTTGCCACGACGAATAATATTCGTTTAGAGTATAAACGCTTGTTTGGCACTTCAGTGACCAGCCTGCGATGTGTTATTGACTAAGTGGTTCTCTGTGCCTCTGCCATTGAATTCGTTTTTTGTTTTTTGTTCTTCTTCAACGTCATGAATAATCCGACAATGTATTTCTTTGAGCTTTTCATAAGGCCTTTTATTGACACTTACAGTGCAATACACGTGTCTCGGTCATGCAGCCTCATCATTTGCACGTAGCCATTCGTAGGAGTCATTCCCTTTCGGGGGAATCTCCCTTACATAAAACAATCGTCGACGATTGTATAAGTGCCTATCAAAGACTCCATAAAATGCCCAAAACAATATGTTATCAGATTATATTGTTTTGAGCAAGGTCTGAAAGAACAGTCGAATATGAACGTCACAGAATACTGGTTGTACACGTCTCCCTGCAGTTTTGAAGATAACCTGATAAATCTGATGACTGAACATATAGAAACATAATACCACAAGACGATAAATTTGTTTTATACTTTTATAACTGTCTCAACTCCTGAATTGCACTACTCATTCAAAAATTGTTCAGAGTTATCGATGAACTTGCATCTCATGCAAAGAGCAGAACCATTTCTGACATACTGTTGGTTAGGCTACAATTTTCAATCAGTATGTAGACTTTGAAATGTTGTGGGAGATGAGAGGATATCAAAACCAAGCGATTCATGATGTATCACTAATGCCAGAAGAAAACATGGTAATATTTTGGGCTGGAAAGAAGATTCTAATCACTTGTGAGAAATTGGAAATCTATGAATGAGTTGCAAACAAAGACAATAATATGTATTCTTCAAAATGAAGGCCATCGTTTTCTACGACTTTCTGCCATCGGTCAGCCAAGTTTGGGATTTCGTCGATGTACCATTCCTTCGACGCAAAATCAAAGAACTCTTGAAATGCTTATTCAACTTCATCGAGCGATTCAAATCGGGCCTTGAAAATGTGATGCATTGATCGGAAAAGGCCAAAGTCGGATGGAGCGCAATGTGGACTGTAGGCGCAATTCGGCAGAGCCTCGACTTTATTCAGTTTATTAAACTTGTCTTTAGTCTTTTCGTCAGTAGGCGATGGGTATTGTCTTGCTACATCAAAACGCGCTTTCACATGACACAAAGCTGGGTTACTTTTCTTGAGCTTTCTAGACTCGGCCTAACTGCTAACAATAGAGCTCGGCGTTGATATATTTGCGCTTTCAGAATAACCTCAAAATGCACGACACTTCCAAAATTTCACCAAACACAGATCACAACTTTCGCACCAAATCCGATGTGCTTCTGGACTAGCGGATCAATTGCACCGTTGGATTCGGCGGAGGCTTGTAACTAAGTAAAAATATAAACGAATAATGTGTAGGCTTCCAGTGCGAAAATCCTGCATATAAAACTGTAATATTTCCATGATATTCATGGGAGCTATCTTGTGCCTAGTAGAGTGCTCAGAACTTTCTTTTCAACCGCAGTAATTCAATAGTTGACGGGCTTATCCATTTATGACAATGAACAGAGGTCTAGTGTTCTTGACATACAAATGAAAAACAAATATGCTTGAATTATGGGCAGTTACAGAAAAAAAAATCATAGGAATAATCAGTAAGTTTCAGGTTGAGATAAGACCTCTTCGTAAGTATGTACCTGTACCGCTCAAAAATGCATAATCTTAGAGCGAGTGTTGGTACTGTTTCCACTACAAGTGGTTCTATCGAAGTGCTTTCATCATATTTCACCAAATGTAGAACGCCATTTGGTGAGGAAAAAATGTATAAGTTCAATTACAAAGCCACCACATTATCATTGGTGCTCCCACTCGCCACCCGTTTTTAGTAGTTGTGCGCACCTTTCGCCGCCGAAAATCACTGCTGTCCGTAAATTGTTAGTGTGAAACCATCCGTAAAGGGTCAGTGTGAAACCAAAACAAATTCACGCGGTTGTGTTTGATGGGCGAAAAACCTTATTAAACTCCCCGTGACCTCCATTTTTCATTTAGCCATATTCGACCAGTCTTTTTACTACAGTTTGCAAAACTTTCTCGACGGCGGGAAATGAAAAGTTTTTTAATACAACGAATATTGCCAAATGGAGGCGCCGTAAGTGAGTGGTTGTCTACACTGAACCTACTTGCTAATAGAGATGTAGAGAAATATTTATGATGCTAGCACGCAATGTTGTGTTATCACCATTTTTTTCAGTCAGTGGATTAGAGCTGGCAGTAAATATCTAAAAATCCATCCCGTCGACTATTTTCTCAACATCGCTTCGAACACTCAATATAGTCTGTGAGAATACTTAGAATCTCTTCGAGGTCGATACGTTAGTGTGGGGACGTGACGTGTCACTGACGAAGAAGTCGACACCTCGGAAAGTACGTATGGCTCTGACGCATCAACCTCGAAAAAGCTCTAATCATTCTCGTAGACAATATTGAACATTTGAAGCGAAAAAAGAGTAGATAAGATGGATTGCTGATAGTTTTTCCTGCACCCAATGATGCTGAGTGATGTGCAGAACTTCGACGTCTGGTGGCACTCGAATACGCATTTGATCTTTCTGAGGGCGCACGGTTTAACCAATTGCGCTATCGTCGCTGTTTTGCCACCACTCCTGCGCACATCAATCTGTCAGCAATCAACCGTAAATGATTTAACCTGATAGTCGATATTGAGATTTTCCTATAACAAGGGGTTTCAGGTCCTGAGTACTACATAAAGTAGTAGAAGAGGACTTCTCTACAACTCGTCTTCGTTCTCTATATAAGAGTATCTCTGAGTGAGGTCGTTCATTTGAGCGATGCTTTACGGAAAAGGTTTCGGCTTGAAGGACAAGGAAGATTAGGACCAAAGCGAGGTCGAACGCCTGTGGAAAATAGCCTTGAATCATTGGTCCTGAAAATTATTACGTCGAAACTTTAGCGGATTAGATCTTACTTCCATCAACTTCGTGCTACTGGTTAGTCAACAGAGGATATATGACTGATG